TTTTTGCGGTACGCGGGCCTCTCACTGCTGTGGCCTCTCCCGTTGCGGAGCACAGGCTCCGGACACGCAGGCTCAGCGGCCATGGCTCACGGGCCCAGCCGCTCCGCGGCACGTGGGATCTTCCCGGACCGGGGCACGAACCCGTGTCCCCTGCATCGGCAGGCGGACTCTCAACCACTGCACCACCAGGGAAGCCCCCTGACAACTTTTTTATCTTACTTTCCCCACGCTCAAATCCTAAGCGATATATTCTTTTTTTTCCTCTCCTTTATTTTTCGCTGCACCCGGTGGCTTGTGAGATCTTATTTCCCTGACCAGGGATTGAACCCTGGCCCTCGGCAGGGAAAGTGCTGAGTCCTAATCACTGGAACGGCAGCGAATTCCCCTGAGTGGTATATTCTTGATCTCAAAGCTTATTTGAGTTTTCCCAGATAGAGCCTGGAAAATCACAAAGTATCTCTTCCCTTGTAAAAACAGAGGTGCCAGAAATAATTAGGTTTATTTGATATATTGAGTTTCATGGGAGGCTTTGTCATATCATAAGAGATGCCTAACCTTCTCTAGGTGACGTTTGTGTGAGCGAAATATCATTAATATAAATGTTTCAGAAACCATATTAATTTCCTGGCGGTTTGTCAATGCCCTCAGTGTTCATGATACGTCCTGGTATTGCTTTGCCTGATATTAAACAGTGTAGTGTTATCAATCATAATTGTAGTTATCTTTTAAAATGTTGCATGCCACAGAAACAACAAAATTTCCTTGTCAATTGCATCATTTTTGCGATGAGCTCTCATCAGATCTTTAACCATGAGCATTTAAAATCTTTTGTCATGCACTAAGGCTTCCCTGAAAGTGCTTGCAATCAGCTACAGGCCAGAATGCTTCACCTTCAAGAAAAAGAGACTGTCTCAGACCCCCATGGAAAGGACTACGCCAGATGCTCTGAGGCACAAGGTTCTGACGCCATTACTTAAATAGCTTTGAAATCCTGTCACTGGACTAAGCCAGAATTCCCAGAACTCTGGTGAAGAAGCTGATGGGTTCATGAGACTGAGCGGAACAAGAATTAATGACATAGGACCTAATGAACTCATGAAAGATGATTATGGGTTTTGTTTGGAATATTGCCAGTGCTTTCATGCTCTATATTCTGGATATAGGGAACCCTTTCTCATTTCTCTTAAGCTATCCATAACTGATAACAATTTAGTAGACTATACTTTCATAAATGGACACAAACCATTTATTCTTTCCTCCCTGCCCAATCCCTCTAGAATTTGGAAATTATTTTTCAGCACTCTTATTTTCATGGTCATACAGTTATATGCCTAGGTTCAATAAGAACCTGCCTTTCTTATTAACAGGACATAATTGGAAACACTGGTTATATAACCAAGGCTTTGACTGGAATGTCATATTTGTAAATGATGTTCATAGAATCACATATGACCTGACAATTTTAAGGAACTCGGGCTGAGTTTATGAAGCCAAGTCTTATAAAACTCCCTTGGGAACCTGGTACTTGGCTTACAGAGTTCCCAGCCTCATAGATGAGTAAGGAAGGTCTCTTCTTGGCAAGTCCAGGAAACTCAGGTTGTTTTGGGTACCTTGAGAAGAGAGGAATTCACCAATATGTATATATAGGAACCACGGGTGACATCTGGTGGTGAGTTCTTGGCTTGGTTTACTAGCCTCGAGAGGCTTTAAAAGTCCAAGCTGAAATTCTTCATAAAAACTTCAGCAAAGCAAACTTTAAAAGGCCTGTATGGCCAATGACCATCCTTGCTGCACCTGTGCAAATAATCAGGTCAAATCTAGTAAGACCAGTGTTAGTTTGCAATCAAGAGTAACCTTAAAAAAAAAAAAAGAAAAAAAAAAGAATAACCTTATTTGAGATGATCTTTGATCAAAAGGAGGGTGACCATTGACAGAAATTTTGCATTTCATTAGAAAATACTATGAGATGTGGGTTATGACATTCTGGTCCTGTTCATTGTCTCTGAGCTATTTTGCCCCTCTTTGTAAAACTTCATGGTTTTGTTACCATGTAAGAATTTGTAAATTGGACTGAATCCTGCAATCTTGCGCACATTGTCAACACTTAAGAAATTTTCAGTTATTCCAATTTCTTTCAATATCTGGCTACAACCCTCCAAACTAACATTTCTCATTTTCCTCTCTCCCTCCTGATTCGGCACCACAGACCTAAAAGCTGACTGCCTAGCTCCTTATGAAGACTCTAAGTTGTCTTTAAGCATAGATGAACTGGAAAAAAAATGCTTGTTAATCAACGTTTGGTTCAGCTTCTCTCCTTCCTCCAGGCCCCTGAACTTTGGCCCACCCCCAGCCTGAGTCAGCAGACAGCCCCTCCTGAGAATAGACTGGCCTCTCTGATCTGCTACGCAATCATGCCACCACTTCATCCCACTTCCCCACATCCAATTCTTTCTAACCTTGCTTACTCTTTAAAAAAGAAGAACTTTTTTCCTAACTTTTCAGATGCTTGCAGAATTTACTAGCACAGCATTCTCCCTATTGTAAAAGTCCCCCTCCCTCTGTTGCAAAAGTCCCTTTCCCCTCTTTCAACAATTCTTCTGAATAAAAGTCTCTCCTTAATGAGTCTGTATTTGTTTTTTATTTGACAATACTTAACAGACAATAAAACACATCCATTTTAAGTGTACATATGATGAGTTTTGACAAATGTATACATTCGTATATACTCACCATCCCAATCAAGGTTTAGAATGTTTCCATCCCTCCATCGAAGTGTGCATACTGTATGATTCCATTTATGTAAAGCTCTTTATATAAAACTTTTTATGTAAAATGCTTTAAAATACAAAGTAATGCACAGTAGCAGAAAGCAGTTTTTTTTTTTTTTTTTTTTGCGGTACGCGGGCCTCTCACTGCTGTGGCCTCTCCCGCTGTGGAGCACAGGCTCCGGACGCGCGGGCTCAGCGGCCATGGCTCACGGGCCCAGCCGCTCCGCGGCATGTGGGATCCTCCCGGACCGGGGCACGAACCCGTGTCCCCTGCATCGGCAGGCGGACTGTCAGCCACTGCGCCACCAGGGAAGCCCAGTGAACAATTTTAATGTGTGCAGTTTCTTGTGTGTTAAATATATCTCAATAAAGCTGTTACAAATATGAATGTGCAGGCAATCTTCACTAGAATGGCCTGTAGCAATGTCTCACAGCCAGAGGGCTTTAGAAAGAGACCCACACATTCCCAAGCAGAGAGTTAGACGCAGAAAGCACCCGGAGGAGGAGGTCACGCTGATTACGTTATGGAGAGTGCAGCAGACAGGAGTTCCTGGGCAGTGGGGGGTGGGATGGGGAGGGAACACGGGCAGCATTCATGAGCAGGGCTCAGTGTTCAGAGGATGTTCAAAAGGAAAGGAATCCTGCAGATGGCATTAGATAACGGGCCTGGCACACAAAGTGCTCCTTGGGCGACAGCACTGTGCAGAAGGTGTTCAGAGACAGAGTGTACAGTGAGGAAGGGCCGGAGCAGGGATTCTTCATGGGACAGATGGCATGGTGGGAAACACTCACAGGTAGAGTGCATGCTCCGGAAGCCATTCACAGGCAGGACATGCCGTACAGAAGGAGGTTGGGTGGAGACAGCATTAACAGGGAAGCCCATCAGGAAAGCAGTGCCACTCCTTCCCTAGCAGGAAGGGTTGAGAACAAGGAATCAGTGGCTTACACAAGCAGTAGAAGGCTGGAGCAGTGAAGGTCAGGGAGACTCTGCTGCTGGTACACGAGGAAAAAGCCCCCAGCGATTCCACCCGCAGGACTGTCATGGATAATTCGCAGGAGGTTTCCCAGAAGGCACCGGGGAAAAAGCCAGGTGTAGCCTCTTTTTGACACCCCATATTTTTCTTACAAATGATAACAACAGTGACACTATGCTTCTGCTTAGCATGACGCAACCATACCTCATATACATGAATATGCCTTTGCCTTCTTCAAGAAGGGGGGACGTCAAAAGTCCCATTAGATACACTCTCATTCTCTGGGGGATGTTAAATTATATGATTAAGCACCACCCACACAATTTAAACGCGAGATTTGGAAATGGGAGAAAGAAAAGTAATGGGGCAGATTTAAATATATAATAGCAAAGCAAGACGAAGTATGCATAGCTTCTGTAGCTGTTATTTTTGCAACTGGCCATGAGGTCATAGTATTTGTAACTTCCTTTTCCACTAGCATTTCAGTTCCCTATGGCCTCGTCTAGCTGGCTGTGGTTGTCTACCAGGCAGTAAGATACAAACCTCTATTCCTAACCAATCTGATCCCTTAGTGGTCCTGCCTGCATGAGTCATCACAGTCATCCGTTATCTTACGTTATTGGACGTGGGAACACTAAGAGACACTCCCAGAAGACTCTCCTCCTGGGTTTGCTATGTGGTCCTTGCAGCGACCCTTTTCCCCTCGATCGTCAGGAGCGCTCAGCCGGCAGGTAAATAATACCCTTCTTGTTGATTCAGTGGCAAGAGGGGCCCCAAATGGCCACGTAGTGATCTCAACTTTGAATTCAATGTAACCAGTGTTGGGTCCCCTGGTGGAAGCTTTCCTCCCTTGGGGAGTTCATGGGAAAAGGATATTGCGCAGAGAAACATCACAAGAGAAATGGGTGTATGGGTTGGGGGCCCTCACAGGTGTGGACCTATAAAGGGGAAGGAGGAATGGGGGAGGCTGGGTACTGGGGATCAACCGGCTTGGTGGGAACCTGGTCTGCTAAGCCATTTTTCAAAATAACTCTACCCTATTTTTTTTCTAGGTCTTTGTGTCACATGCTATCACCAACAGAGACTCCAGGTCCTGGTTAGGAGCTACTGTTATAGTTCTTGCCTTTGAAGTGGTAAAACCTCTTTTTCCTTTCCCAAATGTACTCATGTAGCCAAGATGGTGGCTGAGGTTGGGGTGAGAAAGTAGCTACAGGGACACTAGTTCAATACCTACTGAATGCTGGGTCGCAACGTCCCTGCTCAGTTGTAGAGGGATTTCTCTGTCATGTCTTCTATCTTTGGACTGACTTCCTGACCACCCTTTTTGGCCCCAGGCTGGATCAAGACATCGATGACATGCAAACTATATTTTCGGAAACAAAACCTGGAAGCATGGATCACGTGATAGGCAGAATGGCTGTTCCACAGGATTCTGACCGCTTGGGCACCAGCCTTAATGAGCAAGGTGAAAGTCCTGCCTGTCGGTACACATCTGGAGGAATGGGTTCGGACGTGCGGTTGGGGGCACCTCTGAGGGTTAAGAGATGCATACGCAGAATTCCTGTCAGAGTTGATGGGACCAGGGGTGTTTAAATGGGAGAAGAGTTGACAGAGGAAGAACCCAACAAGTGTATTTACCGATTTTAGGGGCTGGCATATAAAAGAGGGATTACAGATTACCAGTGGGTGATAGTTAAAGGGAACAGGTTGTAAGTCAGCTGAGGAACGCATTTCCACAGACAGAATGGGCTTGTAAGGGACTGAGCTCTTGGTCACTGCAAGAGTTCAATAAGGACTGTCGACAATGAAAGGAAGGATGGGCCCGAAAGAATAAAATCTCCTTCATTCGATCTGACAGGTCTAGAATTGCACACTCGCTGTGCATGCATAGTTTCTAGATAATGCTGTTGTTTTCTCTTTAGATTTGATACTTCTTAAAAGTATTTGCTTCTGTAGAGAAAACTTTGATACTCCTTAAAGTATTTATTTGCTTTTGTAAAGAGAGTGGCTTCAGGTAATAGGAGAAAATAAATCACACAGCCAAATACACCAAGTTATTACACCTATAAAAGGAAACCTTAACATTTACACATGAAATATCTTACCATTTATTATAATTGTGTACATTAATGAGTTAAGCAAGTATGATTAAAAATTCTAGGCAAATGAAAAGAAGCGAAAGTGTAATGCAACCACCTCTCTTCCTTAAGTCCGAAGAATTCTGTGCCATTTAAACATGAAAGAGACTTTTTCAGATTGGAGTCAATATCTTGCATGTTGGTTCTAAAACTCTCTTAAAGGCAGAGTGTATCTAGAAGGCGGGGAAGCCAGCCTATCTTGCACCTCTTGATCCTGCCAAGACTCAGGGGTGCTACCTCCCACCCAAAGGCACGACCTTTCTTTCCCTTTCACTCATTCATTCAGCACCTATGTGTCAGTCCCTACCGTCGTGAGGAAAACCAGCTCATGTTTTGTGCGAGTACATGGCCAGTTTTCCACTCCACAGCAAATCTGACGCACATCTATGGAAATAAATGGAACATTCCTCTCTGATCATTTGGCAGGAAGAAGTCGTCCACCAGCCAACGTGCACAGGGCTCAGAAACTGGAGAGAGATGGAGAGGCATTTTCTAATTAAACCAAGAGAAAACGCCCTCATTTTTCATCAGAAAAACCGTCAGGTTGTCCTTTCGAGGAACTTACACAGTGATGCTGGTCCCAAAGGCAGAGGGGCCCAGTCGAACCTGAGCAGAGCATCAGCTGACTGCACGAATGGGCCTGCATCTGTTCAGCTGGCCGACAGGTATCCCTGTTCCAAGTACCTGGGGTCTCAGTAGTTGCCACTAGCATGGGACAGAGTCTGGACTGTAAAATGGGAGGTCACTGAGGGCCCTGTGCCCAGATCGGCTAGCCTACTGGAGCTTCCCCTGGGTTGACAAGCTCGTCTTTGGGAAGGTCTGTGAGTCAAATCTGTTCCCAGCTGACAGTATTTCAGTCCAGAAGTGTTTTCATGGAAAAGGGAGGTGAGAGGGCCAGTTTGGCCCTTCTGGTATTTTATGGGGACCCAGGATGCCCAGAGGAGGGGTGCAATTCCCCACCTTCCCCTCTTTGTAAAAGTGTGCGTCAGGGTGTCACCTCCACACAGTGCTTCACATATACTCAGCATTAAATCGATGTGCATGTTTCTCATTACTGTTACTGGAGAGGGCATGGGTGCTGGAGAGTGTTACACGGGTGCATTGTGCACAACGCAATGACCGCCTCCCTGAGCCTCAACACCCTCACTTGCAAACTGCGGGGAAGAATACCCTCTGTACACGGTTAGCATGGGCATTAACGCCCCCACTTTGTGATAATGCCTGGTACGCAGTAAGGCCTCAAGAAACGTTAGCTGATTTTCTCCCTTCTTAATCCTGCTGGAGTCTATAGACCCTAAAACTTGCTTTAGGGGATTTCTGTGTAAAGTTGAGGGATCGGACATTGAGGGCAAAGGTATTAATTAGCTAGCAAGATTCAGACACAGATGTCCCTTTGGTCAGTAGCCTCTTAAGAATCACATCCTATAGAATTTAAACCTAACGTGTAAACTTTCTAATACATGTCCACATGCCTGCAGGACAAAACGCAACTATACTGAAAGGTAGGTAGGTAGGAGGTCATTAAAATCTGCTACATAACTCAATCAAAAGCAACTAACTAGTTGTAAAAGTATACGGAAAGTTTAAAAAATATATATGGCAAATAGACAAGCTGAACATTAGCCTATGTCAATCCCTAGCATTCAGCGTCTGCAATTTACCCACCAGGGATCGTCAACAGTCTTTAACCCCTCAGAAGCTTCAGGAGGTCTCCTTCTTCTGTCAAGTTCCAAAGGTACACTCAGAGCTGTGAACCAGAATGTGATTTGCTCTCTGTCCCGAGAGTCAGGATACACCGCACCCCACGCTCTTGTCCGTGACTATTGTACCAGGCCACCTAAACTCATCAGGAAGCTGACCAGTCTGAGGGAAGCCAAAATGGAATTACTGTTCAATCCTCTTTGCTTGAGCCGGAAGTAACATAATGGATGGGAAGTGCTTTCTAAGCTCTAAAAAGCTACACACACAAGTAATTATCATAACATCAAGATACGCTACTGGATGTAAGCAAGTTCAACTTAAGAAGAGCAAAAACGGGAAGCAATCACATGGAGGAGAGAGGAAGTGAGGGAAGAAGAGTCAGCAACTTGGGGCTCGTGGGGACAGTCAAACTTGTCCAGGAGTTATCAGCTTCTTCTTAGCCTGGAGGAGCTAAAAGAAAAGAGAAGTATCCATGAGATTGGAAATACACAGCCGATCCAGTGAGCAGTCAGAAGCCCTTGGCGAGGGTGACTGCTCCAGGCACCGGGAGTGACAGTCCAGGTCAATGTGTCTTCTGGAGAAAAGGCGGAACAGGCTTGTGGCTGGTGGAGGGCCCGGTTGGTACCGATCCCCACTGCCTTCAAGGGAGATATTCTGCTCTGTGCTTCTGGCTGAGGAGGGTCACTGGGCCCCGTGAAGCTCAGACACCGGGGTCGATCCCACGGGCTTTCAGCATGCAAACCTGACTTCAGGCAGAGTTCACAATGTGGCCCAGAGGCCGCCCAGGCGCCGGGACAGCACCATCACCTCCCACACACGCCTGCGTATCCTGGCCTTTACCTGCTGCTGCTACCCAGCTGTGTATCTGTTTTACTGAATACCTCGGCTGGGGCCTGATCTGATGCTATATGAGCAATGTTGGAGGCGACTCAGAGGAATGTGGCAGAGAGCCCCGGACCTGAATCTGAAGTCCTGGGTTGAGGTCCTGACCCTGCCATCTATAAGCCAGGTGTTTCCCCATGTCCTTTTCCTTTCTAGGTCTTTACTTCCTTGTTCCCAAATGAGGCTAACAACATAGGCCTGGCCAGCATTTCAGGGCAGCTAGAGGGCTTAGCTGAGGTGCTGCATGGGAGGTGCTTCTTGACAGGAAGAGACAATGACTCCTGCAACTTGGAAATGTCCATGGGGAGGGTCTTTATCTGCGCCACCTAAGACTTCAAAGTATCACAAGGCATAGGGACACAAGGACTCGGGGTCCCCTGAACATAAAGGCTAAGAGAGATAGCACTGTCCCAGGTCAAGACTCAGGGAGAGACCAGAGCACATTTCTGCCCTCTAGTAAGTTTCCAGCACCCACCTAGAAGAGCTTCTCATAGCATTTCCCACAGTGGATGGTGTCACGGTGAATGAAGATCTGATCCAGAAGCTCACCCATCGGTTTACTGCAAATCCCACACTGAAAGAGAAAACAAGCTAGAGGTCAGCACACAAGTGAAGCAATATAAACGAGTGGAGTGGGCAGGCTCCAAGCTGATGGCACATCCTGGACTTCGAAGCAGACGATTTAAAAATGGCTAACAGAGACAAAACCCAAACAGAAACAAAAACACCTAACAGGCAGAATGATCACGCAGTCGTTAGGAGCCCACGTTTCAGAATTGGGCCTGGGTTTGAGCCCTAAATCCACTACTTATTAGCTAGGTGAGCTTGCGTAAGTTACTGAGGCTCCCTGAGCCTCCATTTCCTCATCTACAGGAGGGCTTTAACTGTGACATTTAAAGTCCAAAAGAAGGTGACATGAAGGCCCACTGAAAGGTAAAGATATTTCAGCAGTCCAGCCGCTCCGGCGTGTCTCTCCAGCGAACGTCTAAAGGATGAGAACAGTCAGCCATCTGCAGCAGACCCTCCTGGTACGAGGAGTCAGAGCAGGGTGGCCTGCAGACAGTCTCAACTAAGAGGAGACCAAGAGTCCCCATGTTTCCGAGGCTCCAGCTGTCTCCAGGCCCAGCCTGGCTAAGGCTGCTGGCTTCCAGCTGAAAGCAGTGGAGAGCGGCCGCAAGGGTGCCCAAGTCCCTCTGTGGGTTCTCACCAAGCACCTCTCTAGTGGCTCTTTCTTCCGTTTTTCAGTTCCTGTCTCCTGGCCATGTATTTTTTGAATTTTATTTTATGTACATTTTTATACAGCAGGTTCTTATTAGTCATCCATTTTATACACTTCGGTGTAAACATGTCAATCCCAATCTCCCAATTCATCCCACCACCACACCCATCCCCCGTGCTGCTTTCCCACCTTGGTGTCCATACGTTTGTGCTCTACATCTGTGTCTCTATTTCTGCCATGCAAACTGGTTCATCTGTACCATTTTTCTAGGTTCCACATATATGCGTTAATATACGATATTTGTTTTCCTCTTTCTGACTTAACTTCACTCTGTATGACAGTCTCTAGATTCATCCACGTCTCTACAGATGACCCAATTTTGTTCCTTTTGATGGCTCAGTAATATTCCATTGTATCTATGTACCACTTCTTCTTTATCCATTCGTCTGTCAATGGGCATTTAGGTTGCTTCCATGACCTGGCTATTATAAATAGTGCTGCAATGAACATAGGGGTGCATGTGTCTTTTTGAATTATGGTATTCTCCGGGTATATGCCCAGTAGTGGGATTGTTGGGTCATATGGTAATTCTATTTTTAGTTTTTTAAGGAACCTCCATACTGGTCTCCATAGTGGCTGTATCAATTTACATCGCCACCAATAGTGGAAGAGGGTTCCCTTTTCTCCACACCCACTCCAGCATTTATTGTTTATAGATTTTTTTTTCCCCAGTACGCGGGCCTCTCACTGCTGTGGCCTCTCCTGTTGCGGAGCACAGGCTCTGGACGCGCAGGCTCAGCGGCCATGGCTCATGGGCCCAGCCGCTCCGCGGCATGTGGGATCCTCCTGGACCGGGGCATGAACCTGTGTCCCCTGCACTGGCAGGCGGACTCTCAACCACTGCGCCACCAGGGAAGCCCTGTTTATAGATTTTTTATGATGGCCATTCTGACTGGTGTGAGGTGATACCTCATTGTAGATTTGATTTGCATTTCTCTAATGATTAGTGATGTTGAGCAGCTTTCATGTGCCTCTTGGCCATCTGTATGTCTTCTTTGGAGCGATGTCTATTTAGGTCTTCTGCCCATTTTTGGATTGGGTTGTTTGTTTTTTTCAATATTGAGCTGCATGAGCTGTTTATATATTTTGGAGATTAAACCTTTGTCCGTTGATTCATTT